ATAAGAAAAATCCACTTGCAAAAATTCCAAAAAGGCTTTACCCACAATATCATCCAACACCTTTGGTTTAATATTTCTGACGTGGTACCTTAAAATACTGCAAACTCTTACAAAGATAGAGTAAGAATATTGTTTCCTCTCTCCGGCCAATCTTCGACACCTCTCTTTACACACTTGCCAATATATAACAAGAGCAAGACTTCTAATCAAACAACAGCTTTTGAACAGTAGTGCACTCCTTTAGAAGGGCACAGGCTTGGAAGAAGGGGATGATCTTGCCAGAAGATGCCATTGTACTCTTTTTTAAGGTTCGCAAATGGATTGCTAGCTTTGCTGTGTCATATGTAAGGCAGCCCTGTCTTGATTCCGAGTCCCAAATGGTCACTTATCACCTTGAAAAATATACAATCAAGCATAAGTTTCTCATTGTGAAAGGACCAAGTAACAATTACACATTATACACATTAGAAAATGAAGAAAATAAGACATGTAAGAGTTGAGATTTCACAAAGTAGATGGTGAGGACTGGCTTTTAAAAATTATTTACAGCAAAAATACAACTCATATCTTGGCTAAGCTTTCTACTTTCAGCAACCCATTATACCAATTAGACCAATGTAATGTACCATGAAGCTAAGTTTTATGGGTTTAGCATGCAATTACCCAAAAAAAGAATGCACGGGGTTGAGAGAAAAAAANGCAAAAAAAGTATGCACGGGGTTGAGAGAAAAAAAAATTAATCCACAAAATGAGACAAAAAAATGAACTACTTAAATCATGGTTTGTTTATTTATTATATTCGGCTTTGAGTAGAAAAAATGATTAGAGGTTTCACACTCTTCCATCCTCAACTCATATGAATAATTGGTATGTGCAGAGTTTTGGGGTTAATCTTATGGCACCAACGGTTCTTATAGAGTTCATTGCACAGGACAATTTTAGGTGCCTCCATAAATCAAACATTTGGTGGGCAGTGGACAATATCAAATATCTAAATCATTAAGATCACAGATCTAATATGTAATTAATAAAACATTTTTNTTGGTGGGCAGTGGACAATATCAAATATCTAAATCATTAAGATCACAGATCTAATATGTAATTAATAAAACATTTTTTCCCAAAATCATTCAATGATCTCCACAAACTTCATCATAAATGTTAACCTAAAAACTTCAAACAAAATTATAAAAACACACAAGAAATTACTTAAAATGAAGAGGTTGTACCCCTATTACTGTGGATATCAATCAAAAATAAGAAAAAGATCAGTGACAGAGGGAGCTACTTTTGGCGTCGTCTGTGATCGGCAAGGTAATTGAAGGCGAAGTGGTCGTTGTCGGTGTTGTTCGTGGATGAAAGCATCTGAATCGGGAGAGGCAGCACGGGTGTGAGCGTGAAGTCTCCCTACCTTGTCGACGATAGCCAGAGATGGAAGAACACCGATGAGAGCTGGGAGAGTTCTTCGACAGGGATTATCGTGCGCTGGTGGGAGTGTTTTTGTGAAGGTAAAAGCCATTCTTTTTAACTTTTACTTATTAACTTAATTAAGTGATAAAATTACCTTTAACTTATTTAAAGTGCTTTAACTAAGTAAATCCAATCACCACTTTATTTTTATTAAAGTGCTTATAATAAGTAAAAGTCACAAAAACATTTTTTTAAAGTCATGTCAAACACTCTCTAAATGGGTAAGGGCTCTCTGAGAACTAGGGGGCAAGGGTCGATTCTGTAGAACGGGGTAATGGGCTATAAGAGATTAGTATGCACTCCGGCTAAAACCAGTTGGTTTTAACTCAGATGGAAGCTCTACTTTCAAAATGGTAAATCATGTTACACCAATCAATCAAAATTTCAAGAAGAAGATGAAGATGAAAACTCCTTACCTTCTCCTTCAATGACTAACATGGAAGGTAATATAGTATGTCACAACCCTAAAATCGGAGGTCCTTTATTAACCGTTGACTACCAGTCAACCCACAAAAATACTCATGATTGTCATTCAATTCGACATCATGTCAATAGAATCCCTTTAACCGAGATTGTTATCCACTTGTATAACACATGCATATTTTGTCATTTGACTCAATCAGGTCCAATATACCACAATTTATACTTATTTTATGTTCATTTATATCCTTAGAATCAAAGAACCCATAGCCCAAATGTTTGACAAAGTAATATTAAAATTTCAAATTTTTGGAAAGTGTACCGGTAGGCAATACCGATACAAGTTGCCCACTAGAAAAGCCATACCGGTGCCAGTTGCCCACTGAAAAAGCCATACCGGTATGGGTAACCCTCTAAAAAAATTCATACCGGTACGGGTAATCCACTAGATCTCGNATTGGTGATTGGTGATTGGTGTTACTGTGTTGGTGGCGGTGTTGTAGAGGATAAGGATTATTTACAGTATAAAGTAATTAATTACAAAAATCATAATTAGTATGATATTATTACATAATTAATCTGTTATAATTAAATAATTAGCTTTTAGGTTTTGATAAATGTGATCATTAATCATCAAAATTGTTTAAAATAAAATTACTTTTAGGGAAAATTGTAAAGATGTATATGAAATTAGAGTTATTTGTCAAACAATTCATATGTATAATAAAATACATAGCAACTTGAATTTTTATTCTCTCTATATTTTCTCTCATGAAAACATCACATCACTCATTTCTATTACATGTTTAATTATTTACATATTTTTCCACTAAAAATATCACATCACTCATTTATCATATGTTTAATCATTTAATATTTGATTAATTTGTAATTACTATAATTTTTATTTCAAACATTATTCATATACAATCATGTTGAAAAAATTTAATATAATGAAATTGATTTTTTGGATACTCGAATTTTATGTTTTATCATGATTTTTAGCACGGGTTATGACTAGTAGCTCTTAATGTTAGATTATTAAGTCCTTATTTTTAGAACTTAATTTTGTCAAAATACATAATTTGACTTTTTATGATTTTTTTGACATATTTGNATGACTAGTAGCTCTTAATGTTAGATTATTAAGTCCTTATTTTTATAACTTAATTTTGTCAAAATACATAATTTGACTTTTTATGATTTTTTTGACATATTTGTCTTCCCTTAAATTATGTATATTTCTTTTGACAATTAATTAGATTTTTTATTTTGTTTTATTGTATTAAGAATTTACTAATATAATGGAAGAATTATTTTACCACAAAGATTTACATATAAAGTTGATTATATATATCTCTGCCATTTTGAATGTTAAATTTTTTTTATCATTATCGTTGCTAGTAAGCATCTCTCTCTTCTTCTTCTCCAAATTATTAGTTATTAACATTCGAAAAAACTCAAACTTATTATTCTCGAACGAATATAGAAAAGCTCGAACATATCATATTTCTTCTTCTACAACATTCATATATTATAAGGTTAAACTTTTGTTTGCTTTCATTTTTTTTTTATTTTATTCATTCCACAGACTTTTAGTTAGTTTCAAAGTTTTTTTTTCTTTACAATCTTCGTATTCGTTTCTACTTATTGGGTTGAGGGGCCACTTTTTTGGTCAACTATTCATCTTTAAAATGATTATTTGTTAATTTCAATATTTTTTAGTTTTATGATTTTTTTTAATAATTTTACTTTTGAATATTGAATACTACAATAATGACTGTTGTTTGAATTCAAAATTGTGCTCTTTTTTTTTTTTTTGTATGTTGTTTTTGTGGTAGTTTCTTCGGGACTAACAGATGCTATGAATTTGTTCAATTCATAATTACATAATGTACACAAAATTACTTTATAATTTGAATTTATATAAAGTTACAATCTAAAAGTGTATCAATATACTATGACACTAAAAGGTTTATGAA